CTATCGCAACGCAAAATGAAAATCGCAACGCGAAACTAAAATCGCATTGCGATTCTGTCGTTGCGATTTTCATTTCGCGTTGCGATTCTCGGTTTCAAATACTAAAATTGAAACTTGAATGGATTGCATTACTTCAACCAAAAGACAAAACAAAGACAAATACTAAATTCACAGGGTTTAAAGACTAAACAGTTTAACAGTATTGGCAACAATCGAATGAATTTAATAAGCAATCTAAATGAAATGGTTAATCTATTATTGAAATTACCAGTAAACTTATCATCAATTTCAATATGAAAAACCTAATAATAATGCAAAAATTTCAAAATAAAAATAATTAAAAAAACTAACCCTCGGTGGTTGATTTGGTTGATTTTCCATTTCTGAACGTGAATGATTGTGAGGGTGGCTTTGACAGATGGAGATAGACGGATTTCTCCGGAGATCGGGACTGATTTCGTCGGAGATGGGGACAGATGTCGCCTTAGAGAGTGAGAGATGGAGATGTGACTGAGTTGTAATTTAGGGTTTTAGGTTACGAGTTACGATTACGAGATATACTGTGGACGGTTCAGTGTTCCGATATATTAATATTCGTGTTTGGAATTTGAAAAACAATACGCGTGCGATAATAATGGCGCTTTGAAAATCGCATTGCGATAGTCACCATCGCGTTGCGACAGTCAGAATCTCGTTGTGATAGTCAGAATCGCGTTGCGATAGTCATACTCGCATTGCGATTTACATATTCGCATTGCGATAGTCGGAAAATCACAACGCGAATTTGGAAAATCGCAATGCGATAGTCAGAATCGCGTTGCGAATCTAGAAATTGATTTGCGATACCGGAGATCGCGTTGCGAATTATCGATCGCATTGCGATTTAATTGGTCATTTTGACAAATCTAAAAAAAATTGGTTAAAATCATATATTATAAGACATTTTTAGTCACTGAGGTTATTTTCTCTTATTTTATTTCCTTTATCTATGACCCGGGGGGGGGGATATGAATATCTTCCAAACGCTGGGCAATAACTTTTTTTTTTATTGACGTGGATCATTGGATTAGTTCTGTCCATCCATTTTTTGTGTACGAATTATCAAACAGAAGAAGCCTGCTGCCTGCAGAACCTGATCCTTGATCTTCGACTCTAACCTTTCAATTTCAAATTTTGACTATTAAATGGAAAATATAATATTTTATTGATAAATTTTTTGGTGGGCAGTCGATAATAGGATTTACTTTGCGGGATCTTTCGGATTAACATGTCTTTGGATAGGCTTTTGAGCTTAGCATGATTTTATTTGAATATAACAAATTTAATATGGATTTGAAGGTAGACCAAATGTATACTCATTATGAACCCAATCAAACCTAAACTCAAAATAGTAAATTCCAAAATGACTTGATCTAAAGCTGATTCAAACAACTCGGTTGCGATCACTAATTTTATCCATCTACCGGCATAACCGAGTCCCTGCTTAGTCGAACGAGTGTTACACGGTAGCTCCAGCTGAGACTTTTTGTATTCCTCATGAAGTCCTCGCTCGGCGGGATTTTTAGGCTTTGAGCTGGCTTTTGGGCTCGTCGGTTGGCTGCTATAATAATAAAATAGAATATAATCTTTAGGCTTCAGTAACTATCTATGGTTTTAACTGATGTTGGATAACCGTGAACCAATGAGATGTTGGTGAAGGTAGAAATCAAGCTTCTCTGTTATAAGAAAAAAAGAAATCCTTTCATTCTCAACTAATTGAACGTATTGTGTGGATAAAAACAAGGTGGATTTAAAAGCAGCAAACAAGGAATAGCTTTAACAGTGCGTAAATTAAACAAGGGGTAATGATGATAAATGATAATATCGAGGGGAATAAAATCTGAATGGAGATGGGGATTGAAATTACGTATGTAGAGTAGTTAAGGATAAAACAAGACAACGTATCCTTATCAGAAAAAAAAAGGTTCTACCTTTACCATCAATCAAGAAATAGTAATGGAACATGTTGGTTGATATATATAGGAATATAGTTTTGATTTTGTCGACGAACTTACCTACTTAGCTAAGCTCAACCCGATCCAACCCTTCTTTTATTGTCTTTAGCTGTCTAAATTCTATTTGCTGCAAACACAGAAGTTTCTCCCACCATTGACAAAATAAGCTCCAATATACCCTCTTTCAAAGTCTTATCTATTGATCTTTTTCCCTCTAAGCTTAATACCTACAAGTTCTTTGATGCAAGCTAGGAGCTCATCTTTGGTTCGGGAAAATCCTTTAAAAATTCTTCGGTTACGCTATTCCCACAGAATGTAGATGAAGACACACCAAACAAGCTTAAGAGTGATGGTTAGGAGGGACTTGCCTTTCCAAGTATTGTAAGCCCAAGTTAACAGATCATCCCATGATGAACAGGATTTCGTAATTCTGTTAAACAGCAGAATTTTGTTCCATAAAAAAGAAGCAGTGGAACATTCAAAGAACAGGTGATTCCTGGTTTCCATTGCTTCATTACATAGCACACAAGTCCCATCAGTAGTAATTCCCATGCACTGCAGGCAGTCTGTCAAGGGTTGCCATCCAAGCTAGCAGACTGTGTTTGGGAATATGTTGGGGAAACCACATCAAAGAATGCCAGGGGACTTTGTCTTCCTTCACCCTTATCTCCTGCCAAATGTACTTAATGGAAAGAGCACCATTCAAAATTATTGTGGTTGCTTCAGTGCGTAGCTTTAGGATTCGGTTTAAACTCCAGCTGTAGCTAGCACTTCTTGCCAAATGCCACAGATTTCTTTCCCTTATAACATAGGAATTTATCCAGGCTACCCATAAAGAATCCTCTCCAGCCAGTACATTCTTTATGAGCTTGATCATGCAGGATTTGTTCAAGATTTTAAGGTTTTTTCAACCTGAGTCCTCCCTCTAATTTTAGTTGACATATTTTGGCCCAGCTAACTCTTGCACCAATGGTAGATTTGTCTGAGCTTTTCCAGAAGAACCGCGAGCAAAGTTGTTCAATTTTGCTGATATTGATTGAGGAAGAAGAAGCTGCCTACACCCGTAATTAGCAATGCTGAACAGAACTGCTCTTATGAGTTCCAATCTTCCAGCGTAACTCAAGTTTTTTACCAGACCAAAGAGTGAGTCTTGCTTTAATGCTAGCAATAAGAGGTTCACAATCTTTTTCAGAAAGTTTTCTAGTAATCAGTGGGACACCAAGGTATCTAACAGGTAAACAACCATAAGAAAAACCAGTAGCTTGTTTAATATGTTCGATGTTCATTGTTGAAATTCTAGCAGAGAAGAAGACACACTTAGCAACATTTAAATTCAGTCCAGACAATTCGTAAAAGTGGTCAAGTACAGAAATGACTCCAATCACAGATTCTACATTGCCCTTACAAAAGATCAACAAGTCATCAGCAAATGATAGGTGTGTGAGCTCTATTTTCTTACACTTAGGGTGATAACTATAGAGACCTCTAGCAACAACCAAATTTAGCATTCGAGAAAGAATATTCATGGAAATAACAAAGAGGATGGGTGAAAGAGGGTCACCTTGTCGAATGCCTCTTGTTCCCTTGAAGTATCCAATTAGACTCCCATTGAATGAGATAGAGAATCTAGCTCCTGTGAAGCAAGCTTCAACCCAGCTTATAAATCTTTGAGGAAGGTCCAAGGCTTTCAGAACAACAGATAAAAAACCCCAATGAAGAGTATCAAATGCCTTTTGGAGATCAATCTTCAATGCACATCTTGGGGAGATAACTTTCCTTCCATACCCCTTAACTAATTCTTGAGCAAGGAGGGTATTGTCTACAATGCTTCTGACTCTAATGAAAGCAATTTGGTTTAGAGAAACCATTCCAGGGATGAGATAGGTCAATCTTTTGACTAAAATTTTGGTTATGGTCTTATAGATGACTGACTAGCATGATATAGGCTTGAAATCCTTGACTTTGTTGGAATTTGGGATTTTAGGGATTAGAGCAAGAGTGGTAGCATTGAATGCAGGAAGCATTGAGGAATGCTGAAAAAAGTATTTGACAGCTCTCACAACATCCTCTCCTACAATGGACCAAGCCTTTTTGAAGAACATTGGTGTGTATCCATCCGGCCCCGGGGGTTTGTCATTGCCTTGATCAAAGATAGCTTCTTTGATTTCTTCGGTGGTGACATTTTTTATAAGATTTGAAGAGTGTTCAGGAGGCATTGAATAGTTAAGAATGTCTTTCAAGAACTTGTAGCCACATCCTTTGACTTTGGTATCATCTCTCCCAATTAAATTCATATAGAAAGCTTGCACTTCTGAGGCCATAGCATCGAAAGTTTCAAGTCTTAATCCTTGATCATTAATGAGCATTCGGATAGCAAAGTCTTATCTTTGGGACATGATTATTGTCATTACTTATCTTCTTCTTATCTGTCAAATAACACGGAACCCTGTGTTTGTGTTTTGACAGTCTAGGTACTGTTATTTGTAGCCGGTCGATGGCAGATTGGGAGGCAGAGAGCTGCCCATTCCTTGACAGATAACAGGGAATAATCGGTTCAAAGCATCCATATTCTATGTTGAGGTATTGGGTGAGGAATTTATATTCCTCTACTGCACACCAAACTTTTGTCTCATTAATTCTAATAGTAAGATTTTCAGTTTTTAACTCGATTTAGATATCATGTTTGATCCTTCTAACTCCTACACGCACATATATAAATATATAGTAACTCAATTTAGATATGAATAAAACTCAAGAACATCAAATCAGTTTGAGTCTACACCTTCTGGACTTTATTTTATTACTACAAAGCAGTTTAGTGGATCTCACCAGAGGCCACGAGAAAACTTCTCAAATTCAATTCACACAAACTCTTGGTGTTTGTAAGGCTATTAACCTTGTGCGAGCCCCACGGTGGCCGTGCTTCCTTAATCCTTTTTTCTGTTTGTAAAGCCTAGAGGAATTACAAAATATATTATTGTTTACAACGTTGGTGTCAACCAACTGGCCCGTCTAGCTCAGTCGGTAGAGCGCAAGGCTCGAGCCCCACGGTGGGCGTACTATCTTTAATTCCTCATTTTTCTGTTTGAAAAGTCTTGAGTTATTACAGAAATGTACAAGTCGTTAGAGCGCAAGGCTCTTAACCTTGTGGTCGTGGGTTTGAGCCCCGTGGTGGGCGAATATAGTTTTCATTCATCCCTCTTTTTCCTGTTGCCTGGAGATTTAGAGGAGTGATGTGTTCTGCGGAACTTGAATTACGGGGGGGAGTTCTTCCACTAACACGTCATTGTACTTCTGAATGAAAAGAAGAAAACACAAAATTGAATTATGTGACTATCTTGGAGTTCCCTCTCCACATTTGAAGGCATTTGTCGAGTTCTAACCTATTGTTTGGTGCCTTCTTTTAGCGAAGCACGTCGTCGTGCATGATCATTTTCTTTTCTCTTGGGTCCTTAAAAGAAATTTAAACCCTTTGATGTATTTATTACCATTTCTTTTATTTATGCTAAATGTGGAAGCCAGGTATGCTCCACTTGATCAGAATGGGCAACTAAATGCAATACACTAACAAGATCAAAACTGGTCCGGGTGGGAACGTGGAGTTTCAACACTGTAATCAAGACTCTGCTTGATTAATTCTTCAGCCATATCACAAGGAAGTTGACTTAAGAGATGCGTGTAAACTATTCCATTTGGATTCAATTTCTTATACAGCCCATCTTAGGAATGGTTGTCCAGCCTACTATGCTGCAATATTCCCACATTTAACTTGTATGATATATTGTTACAAGTTTACACATTAAAATCAGGTACATATTGTGTTCAAAATAGCTAGGTCGGACCACTTTTCTTGTTTAAATATATAGAGGTGGTGGAGAACAAGTGGTACAGTTGTAATATAGTTTGTGGAATTACATTGAATCTGGTCTGGTTTTCGATATATAGAGGGGGGAAGAACAAGTGCTAATCCGCTTGCCTAAAAGATATTCCTCGATCATCTTTGTTGAGAAAGATACATTCAAGTCCATGTTAGACTTGAGGTTGCTGAGTTAGGTTTGTTTACTTTGAATTGTCTTTGGCCACCGAACTAGAACGCCGACGTTTTCTCAAAAGTCATAACGTACGGTCAAATACTCAAATACAAAGATCAAGTAAGGATATTAGGTATTTTGACAACAAAGATTATTACTATCATCCTAGCATTACTGGACAGTGGCATCAGATAGTCAATTTAATAGTATTATAAACTATACATAGCTGAAATGCATTTGGTATATAGCAATTTGATCTGATTAGTTAATCTGATTAAAAAAATAAGAGAAAATCGCCTCAGTGACCAAAAAAAAGTTATAATATACGATTTTAACCAACTTTTTTTGGATTTGCCAAAATGACCAACAAAATCGCAACGCGAAATAAAAATCGCAACGCGATCCCCAGAATCGCAAATCAGTGTCCAAAATCGCAACGCGATTCTTGAAAATCGCAATGCGATAGTCAAATTCGCATTGCGATTTTCCAAAATCGCAACGCGAATATGAAAATCGCAACGCGAACACATAAATCGCAATGCGTATCCGTAAATCGCAACGTGTATCCGTAAATCGCAACGCGTTTCCGTATATCGCAACGCGTATCCGTAAATCGCAACGATAATCCGTAAATCGCAACGAGAATATGTAAATCGCAATGATAATCCGTAAATCGCAACGAGAATCTGTAAATCACAACACTGAAATTTTGGGTATATAACACTGAAATCATAAACTAAATCCCTAAATCGCAACTCATTCCATCTCCATCTATCACTCTCTCCGGCGACATCCGTTCCTATATCCAACGACATCCTTCCCAATCCGGCAACAGGTTTTAGTTTCGCAGCTCGTCTGTTTAGTAAATTAATTTACAACCATGAAATCATCTAATGTTGATCATGTTTGGATAGATTTGTGTTTTGGAGGGTCATGGGATAATGTTCATGGTGTTTACAATATATGCCTTTACCCATGAATCTTCAACTAAAATTGTCTTTACAAAAGTTAACTTATGAAACTCTAATGCTACGTGTTTCAAATAAATTGAATTTAGAGCCCCTAAGTGGATTTAGGCTATCTTATCAGAGAAATGGTAAAGTTTATTTGTTAACCGACAATGAAGATGTTGAACGATTCATTGCTTACATTAGGGTTTCACAAGATGATTACATTGTATGTTGAACCTAGAAGTAGTATTGTTGGGTCAGTAGCGGGTAGTAATCAACTAAGTTTTTCTCAAAACTCACAACCTTTCTCTAATCCAAATCCCAATCAACTTTCAGCACCAAATTCCGGTTTTCGTATTGACCAGTTAGACGATGATGAGCCAACAGAAAAAATTGTGAGTACTAGTCAGTATTCGAAATTTGGTCTTGGTCAATATCCGGACTTTGATATTGGTCAATACACGGATTTTGATGATGTTTCAGAAGAAGAAACAGACCATGCGTGTAATGATATTGATATTGGTCAATACCCGAATTTTGATGATGAAACAGCCGTTGCCGAAGAATGTAATGTTGATGATAATGAGGAGGAAATTACGACTGTGAATGAACATGTTGAACATCCATTCTGTAATTCATATAATCCTGAAGAAGAAAAAGTCCCCGAAGAAAAGAAAATGCCACGGGCGTATAACTGGAATATGCCAGAATTACTTCAGATACCGGAAGAAGAGTTGATAAAGAAAGCAGTTGATTGTTACACAAAAGTTATTCGTATCAAGAAAGATGATTGTTTTGATACAAAGGAAGACTTGAAGATAGCTTTATATACGAAATGTGTGGAAGATGGCTATCAACTAAAAGTTAACAAATCAAGCAAAGATCGTTTCGAAACAAGGTGTATGATTGACAAAAACTGTACGTGGCGTATGATTGCAAAGAGAATAAAAGATTGCAAAATGTTTCAAGTTAGGACTTTTATTGATAAACATACATGTTCAAGAACCCAAGTTTTTCCTCACCATAGACAGGCAAACAAAAAGGTGTTGGGTGGTTTTCTGGCTGAGTTAATGTTTTTGAATGGCAGGGTATATCGGGGACATGAAATTATGACTGACATGAATGCTCGGTTCAAGATTAGTATATCATATTCTCAAGCTTGGAGAGCCAAATGTTATGCCTTGGAATTGTTGAGGGGGTCGCCAGAAGCATCGTTTGCCCAACTGCCGGCTTATTGTCACAATTTAAAGCTGAAAAATCCTGGGTCGGTAACTCATATCAAAACAGATAGAGATGGACGCTTTGAGTTGCTGTTTATCGCCATTGGTGCTACGGTTAGTAAATCAATATAATTTTGTTGACTCATTTTTGTTAGTTACATGCATTTCACATTTAAATGATTATATTTCTTGTGTATATTATTTTGTAGATTCGTTCGTTTATTACTTGCATGCGCCCAGTTATTATAGTTGACGGAGCACATTTGAAAGGTCGATACCTTGGAGTAAACTTATTAGCAGTAGCCATGGATGCTAACAATGGGATATTGCCAATAGCTTACGGGGTTGGCAAATCTGAAACCTCTGATTCATGGACATGGTTTATGGGGCATCTTAGGGATTGCATAGGTCCTATTAGCAATCTGACAATCATATCCGATAGGGCAAACTCAATGACAACGCTGTTAGAAGGTGTTTCCCAGATGCTTTTCATGGACTTTGTGGTGTTCATTTGTATAGAAATCTAAAATCAAGGTCTGCTGGTATAAAAAAGCACAAATGGACATACTGGAAGGCTGTAAAAGCTTATCGGGAAGTGGATTTCAATAAGCATATAAATTGTTTAAGACGTGTTTTGCCTCAGTGTGCTCAAACACTAGAAGATGTCGGGTTTGAAAGATGGTCAAGAGTACATCAACTTGGAGCAAGATATGGTTTCATGACGTCTAATAGTGCAGAATCAATCAACGCTCTAAGTCGTCATTCCCGGAAATTACCCATTACTATGTTAATGGAGTTTTTTCGAGCCTCTATTCAACAGTGGTACTACAAGAAAAGAAACCATACAGGTATTATTTCTTTGAATTCGTAACTTATCATATTTATATATTTTACTAAGTATTGTTTATTTAAATTTACAGGAACATTGGAACATCGTGTTACACCATGGACTGAAAAAAAGATAACGAAACGTGTTGTGAAGTCAACGTCATGGAGAGTTGAACCATGTTCAAACACTTTGTTTCAAGTACTGGATAATAACTTAAATGGGCTAGTCAATCTAAATGCAAAGACGTGTAGTTGTATGAAATGGCAAACATCTGGTTATCCGTGTGGCCATGTTATAAAAGTTGCTCTTCATTTAAACCAAGATGATTCAAGCGCATACGCTATGGATTGCTACACTACAGAAGTTTATCGACAGACTTATGCCGAGATTGTCTACCCTATTCCACATCCTTCTGAGTGGGACATACCAGATGACTTACAAACAGTTTTGCCACCAGCCATGGACAGAAGGCTACCTGGCCGACCAAAAAGTCACGATCGTATACCGTCTAAGGGTGAAGAGAGAAGAGATCGACATGTAGTCGGTGCAAGGAAAGTGGTCATACAAGGTTGACATGTGGATCACCAGTGCCATCAAAATCATCTTTTCCTCTACCAAAATATGGATCCTCATCAAAATCCAAAGCTCATATGGTGTCAAGCAAAAGGCAATCATCTTTAAAATCCCAATCACAATTGGCTTCACCTTTTGAGACTGTTAACTTAGGTGATTTTTAAATGCAAACGTTGTATTATGTGGATTTTATGTGTGAACTTTTAACATTTTCAGTTGAATTAATGACTCAGGCCAACCATTTTGACTTAACCAACTCTTGTTATTCAGTTGTTATCACTATTAGGCATGCATTTGACTATCGCAACACGGAAATTACAATCGCAACGCGAAATGAAAATCCCAACATGAAAATCGCAATGCGGAAATGAAAATCGCAACGAGAGAATCGCAATGCGAAATGAAAATCGCAATGCGAAATGAAAATCGCAACGAGAGAATCGCAATGCGAAATGAAAATCGCAATGCGAAATGAAAATCGCAACGAGAGAATCGCAATGCGAAATGAAAATCGCAATGCGAAATGAAAATCGCAATGCGAAATGAAAATCGCAACGACAGAATCGCAATGCGAA